GGGATAAAGACAGGCCGGGAGAAATATCGTGGTTGAATAGTTTGCTTATTAAAGGCTTCGGTGGAGTGTAAAAATAAAGTAACACAGAGGAGGACCCTTCCTCACTTCGATCCGAACGCGCGATAACGCGGCGACGAGAATTCCTTCGCACTGGCCAATTAAAGAGAAGCGCACGGAAGGTTTTCGAGTTGAAAATTAATCCTCAAAACGTATGATTTTTTTCGTCGTTAGAAATGACATATTGCTCCCGTGGGTAGTTACGTTCACTTTTGACATTTATTACCCACGGAGAGAATGTTGATTTTAACCCCGAATTGCCAGGAGTAATATGACGCGCAAAAATACGATAAAATTGGACAGAAAGAGAAATACGCTTTAAGAAAATTATTTATTAAAAGTGAGAAAATATATAAAGACATCGATATTACGTCTCAAGGATTAATTTTGCCGCGCGACTCGACGAATCTGAATGCACTGAATTTCTTCTGGACGCGATGAGTTTCTATCGATTGTTGTAGGTTGTAGTACAAGTCCGCGGAAACGAAGTGAAGAATCGCAAGGTTTTACGGTGGAGGAAGCAGCGAGAAGAGGAGAACGGAAAATATGTATAAGAAAGCGAACGATGTCGCAGCTGGTTCGCTCGAGAAGGTGAAAAATGGCCCCGCGCGGAGAACCCCCTAGCTCTCGTTCCTTTTTTGTTCCACGACCCGAACTCGTTATAGTCGTTTTCTATCTTTCTTCACGTTGGAAACGAGACCGGGGAAGATATCTAACATCGAGAGTAACGGATAGCTTGACAATAGAATGTGTCTGCGGAGTCGTTGCCTGTGTTGCGTAAACTCTCTCGCGGAAATCCGAGACGGGTGATGTCAAATCGCTCGTTGCGCTCAATGCTCAATCTCTCGTATGATTTCTCAGCGCATCCATCGAATGGTAGCTTTATCTCGACTGGTCCACTCTCTTCGATTCCTTACGTGACTCGAGGTAAAAGCAAACGAATATTAGGACTTTGCTGTCCTATGTCAAGTTGGACTCGACACAATGCTTTGCGATAGCCTAATTCTTCAAGCATTCGAATCTGTACAATTACAATCGGCGAACCACGCTGTTAAATTCATCAAATTATACTCAATTTCAATCATTTTTAATCATTCCTTTTACTTTTATTACTTTTCTTTTAACTTTATTTTACTATTACTCACTATATTATATATTATACTACAATAGTTAACTTAATTAAACTAATGGAGTCAAAATAACACTGTTTTGTATTAAAATAATAATTTCGACACACATAGTACTTAAAAATAACAAAATGTTATTTAACTGAAGGTGCTGGTTTAAATTTCATTCCTTAATATTTGACAATGTATATTTTTGGGATCTCCATAAGTTCCTTTAAGTAATAAAAATTCTTTGATTCGCGTTAGACCAGCTGATTAGGTGGAATTGAGAACAAAATATTTGACCTTTGCTTATTTGCGAGAAATAATTTTGACCGCAAAGGGATAATTTTTAAATCGCGCGAAATTTGCAAGGAGAAGACATGAACATTCGCATTCACGAGCATTTACGAGCCAATGGATCTCTCGTTATTTCCTAATACCTCCGGTATTACATTCGTGGTGATTATCGGTTTTGATTTCACTTGCGCGAGATCTAGCTTATTGGTTCGACTGGTTCGGAGGATTGTTGCGAGCTTAGCTTAGATCGCGTCTGTCCGTAATGGGACTTTACGTGCGCGCCGGAATGCACACAGGAATGAACGATTGACTCGAGTCGGCGGCGTAGAGGGCAAGATGCCGATGGAACCGCGCTTCGAAGGGAGCCGGTTGATCGATGCCTCGTGGCCTTCTCTCGTTATCTCACGGAAACTCGGTGCGTTCTATCGATCGGATATACCTTCCCGGGCCGTTCGGGCTTTCGGGCGCCTCCTCCGGAGCGACCGAAAGCCTCTTTTGCTCCGGATTTCGCTCTGGCCAAGAGCCTCGTGGAAGAGGGACGCGGAGAGCCGACCGAGAGGGGGAGGGAAAAGGGGAGGGAAAGATAGGGGAATTCTACCGTGGGTAGCACGCCGTCCGCTGGAAGCCGGGCTCTCAGGGCTGGCCGGAAATTGTCGAGAATCTTGTCGATCGCGATTAGTTAATTAAACACGACTTTCGACAGTGACGCGGGGCGCGTGTAACTCGAATTATCGATTTTTCGACGATACGATTCCGCGTGATCGGATAAGAAATTAAGAAGCTAAGCGGCTTTCGAACAGATGTTGTGACAAACAATCGGCTTTAATATCTCTCGATCGAATAATCACCTGATATTTCTATTTATAAACCCTCGAACGATTGAAAACTACGATAGAAGTCGCGTATTACATTTTGTACATGTACTTTTATATTTATTATAATTTTAATTGCCACTTATTAAAGAAATGTTTTTTAAACAATTATATTTTATCGTATTTTATTCTTATCAAAGAAAAGAAAGATTTTCAACACTTTTTTACAATTTTTTTACAACGGCGTAACTCCGTGGATGGTTGAGTTGAATTTAAATTTTGCTCGAAGTTTAGGGACATTGCTACCCTAAAATATAATTAAATCTTAATAAAAGCGAATTTCGGCAAAATGTTTCTCGCGTTGCAAGGAGGCAGCCCGTGCATATAGATATGTCAGAAATTCGAATATACGTATATATGCATTTCAAGAGCAAATAAGCGGACGGCGAATATTGTTCTTCGAATTGTTCGAAGATGGACCGAGATCGTTCTGTGTACTATCGACGACCTCGGCCCAGCGGAAGAGGAATCTTGCGGACGTATTGGATCAGGCAGGTCCGGGCGCAGCCGGTCGCGCTCGTAAAACCGGAAGCATTGTTAGTGGAGTGTCCAATGTTCGTTCGCTGGACGTTGTTAAGAGAACGAGCAAGCGGCACACACACACACACACTCCACACAACAGCATTCCACGCGCGCGCGCATCCAAATACACACACACACATAAGAGCGAGATATCTCACGCTGCATCGTAAAGCGCGCAAATAAACCGAACTCAAGTCAAACGAGCGAAACTCAAACGAGGGACGGGGGACGCGGCGGCTGTTTTAGGTATTGCTGTGAAGGGCAGAAGGATGGCAGGCGGGAGGGTGGTTTTGAAGTCGTAAAACCGTGTCGCGAACGCCATAACGAATGCAATGCGGAAATTCGCCGGCTAAATCCCAGAATGAGAGAAAGAGAGCGGAGAGAAGGCAAGAGTGAGGAATAGAAAGAGAGAAAGAGAGAGAGAGAGAGAGAGAAAGAGAGAGAAAGAGCGCAAATGAGAGCGAGGATTGCAGAAACGGAGCGAAACGGAGGGAGATAGTGAACGGTCGAATGGCATGTATATATTCACCGAACTTTCTCGACTAATCCACCGAGCTTTATGAAGCTCTTCTCGAGACGAGCATAAATTCGCGTGAATCTGCTGTTATTGTAGGCGACGGGTCTCTTCTCCGCGAGTCGGGGCACCGTGTAGAAGAGCGACCGTATATTTCTCGTCGCGCGCGCGTTTGCGTCACGTTATTTTGGATTTGAGAGCACGGGTAAGGTGCTCGAGAAGAAAAGCGTCAGCGAAGTCTGGAGGAAAGAGAGTTTCGTCGCGCCTTGCGATACCCTTTACTTTGCGAGAACACTTCGATTCGTTCGTTCATTTTGTCCTGTTATTTTTATCGCGCTTGCGATATAATAAAGTCGTGTCGCTTCAAAATGCGATTTCAAGTCAGGGATACAGATTAGACGCCCATTATTCATGTACTGATGAATAATGCGTGCTCGATTGTCGACGAAAAGCGCAAAAAGCAGGTGGGAAAGGCTTAACAAGATAACACAAAACGTAGATTAAAGAAACGAAGAGAAAGGGGAGGTGAGATCAAACCGTGACGATTAAACTCAGTACGCAAATATACGGGGATATGTGTGGTACAGAGGCGGCGATATGTGTATAACGCAACAAAATCAGTGTCAAAACGAAGGATAACGGAAGGAAAACGGAAGTAAAAACGAGCGTTTAACGGCGTGTACTCCGGCAATTAATGGACGATTGTAATGTTAGCTCAATCCAAAGTCCGGAGGACGGTTATGCAGCACGTTTAAAAGGAAGTAGAAGATGATGACGAAGATAGAAATATGTAAGTATATAGATAGACAGAGATATATGTTTATATACAGGAACGAAGAGAGAAGTCAACTCAACATACGAGAAAATAATATCTCGCGCGGAACGTTCGTATCGACGTCGTTCTACTGGTGCTTCGAGCTACAGTTTCTCATCGAGGAGCATTTAACTGGAATAAAAGCGTTCCCGCAAAAATGGAACAAAAAACCAATTGAAATTTTCGATTCGTTGATCAAGATTGCCGTTGAATTATAATGTTACTTCTTATTATAGCTCGTCTGTCGATCGTATTATAGAATTCATTTATTATTATTACTTTAATAATATATTAACTTGAGAATTGCACAGCAGGAAGCTAATTGTCTTACTAATTGCACATTAACTTAAGACAAAAGGTATCAAAATTAATTTGCGTCAATCGTGAAAATGTAGTCGAAGAAATATTTTCCCGCGTTATTAATACGGCGGTAAAGATTTGCAATATCTTTCTAGTCACTTAAAAATACCGCACGAGCGCGAGAACTGCGTTTACCGTGCATAAGAATATACTTGTTCCGGCAGAACGCACGTCACGAGGCGCACCCGCGCGATGAAAAACGCAGAAGACAGAGACAGAACGGAACCGAAACGCAGGAGAGAACACTGGCGAAGAGGAAAACAAGAGAAAACAAAAAAAAAACGAAAAAGACTGTCACAAATACATCGTGGTACAAAAAAAAGGAACAAAAAGGTGGAAGAGAGAAAAAAAAAGGAGGAAGAAAACTCTCGTTAGGTTATACTCTTGGCACGCACGAAAAAGAAGAAAAAAATCTTGGCTCTTCAAGTAAGTCGTCGGCTCTCACGGGGACTTACCATTCTTTTTTTTGACAACGACTTTGGCTGCGACTTTACGGGGGTTGCGGTATGCCGAACGATCGGAGTTTTGAGTGGTAGTAGTAGAAGTAGTAGTAGAAGTAGTAGAGGTAGTAGTAGCATAGTGTCGTGCCGAGATAGGAGGAGTCCAAGGCCAGTGTGATTGATACAAATATAATAGAGAAGGAGTACGATATAAAAGACAGTCAGTGCAACTTCGGGGGTGGGGGGTGGGGGGCGGGGGCGGGCGAGAAAGGGGAGGGCAAGAGCGAAGGGGGGGCAGAGGGTTGTGAGCGGCGCATATATCTCTCGCGATAATTAAAGGAGGCGAAACCGAGGGGGAAGGGGAGAAAAGTGGAGGGGCCGAGGGTGCCTTTATTGATCGAAACACCGGGACTCTCTGTTTGAACTCTTTTTTTTTCGATCAGAGCGACCTAGCCGCAACAGCCAGGAAAAACGTTCTCGCGAGCGCGTTCTCTACGAGACGGTGAGGGGGGAGGGTAGTGAGGGGGGCTGCTCGACTTTCTTTCGGAGCTCGGACCCGGCCCGGTGGATGGATACTTGTTAGACCCGGTGATCGTCCACACGGCTGACACCGGACGGTGGTATCGATCTGACCTTCCGACGTGCCACGAAGTGCGGGGAATGAATTAACCCGCTGTCTCCTTGTCGGGCACACGTGGACGAATATAAAATTAATCGGCGGTAGCCAGCCGACACAGGTCGATATTTCGGATATCGTAAAAAATATATATGTCTTCGGTACGACTCGGTGAAGACGTTTGATTTAATCAAAACTCGATCCAACACTGTCGCGAAGAGTGGAAAAAAAAACTCGCGATTGTCACACCGGTCGCAAAGCTCCATCCGCCGATTTGCCGAAGAAAGTCATTTTTCTTTTAGCTTTCCATACGTAAGGACGAAGGGCAGAGTGACTATACATACACATATGTGAAATATACGAAAAAGAAAAAGAAAGTAACAGAATAGGCCAGCGGGGGCGGGATGGACGTAACACACGTGAAATTGAAATTGACTATGGAACTCGGACAGAGTGGTAGAGTCGATCGGGGCGAACGAAAATGACAAATAAAAATCCGATCTGTAGATACTCCCGGGGGGGTTACACATATCGAAAAATAATTAAGACGAGAATCGAATGACGGATTACCATCGCAATTACAGCGTCATCTTACCCGGTCGTTGCGATGCATGCGTGAATTAAATTAACGCGTGTGATGCGCAAGATGGCAAATGATGATCCTCGCCCGATTAGCTTCGAGCTGAAAAAGTACTTTGAACTCGTAAAGCTCAAGACCCACGCGAAGTAGTTTTATACGTGCTTTGAGAAACAAGCAAAGGGGATCGTGCCATCTTGAACAAACGTATGGAGACAGGGTGAAAGATGCTATATGAGTATAATGATGCAGAAAATCAAAGTCTACCGTTGAAGATGTAAAAAGTCAGGCTATGTGCCGTCGAGACACGTCGAATATATGTATTACACACATACATGTATATACGTAGTCGGGAAGTGAAAATAAAAATGCCAAGAAGAGCAGATACGGAGCAGATACGGAGAAAAAAAGTGAGAGAGAGAGAGAGAGAGAGAGAGAGAGAGAGAGAAAAAGAGAGAAAAAAAAAGAAGAGAAAAACCAAGTAAAAATCTCATATCTCGATGCGAAAAATCATAAGTACAATGAAACAGATGGTCAAAGGTAAAGAAAAAAAAATATACAGTAAATTTATGTACACACATATATATCATGGATATCATATAGAACGGCAGATAAAGAAGAAAAGAGAAGAGTTAGACGCGGACGTACGTACGTTCTTCTCCTTCCGAGAAACACGACGTTACGGATAAAGGAAAAAAAATAGACAAGACGTGATAAATAAAAGAAAAATACGGAGGGAGAGAAAAATAGATAGAGAGAGAAAAACAGATAGAAAAAGAAACTCGACATCGAGAAACTACTATGAAATAGCTAAAAAATTAATGATAATCAATGAAGCTCTTAATCGTGTGACGTCTAGAAGAATCGAGCGGCGTTTCTTACCATCTGTCCGTGCAGCGAGTGAAAATGCAAACAGAAAGAGAATTCAAGATTTGTCTCTGGAAGTTATAAAAGTGAGATCGTGGCGGGGGGAGGCAGGGTGATAGAGAGATTTTTTTTTAAATCAACTATTCTTTCAATGAATATTTCGGGTGAAATCGCGTCAATACGTATTTTTTTTTCTTTACTTCTGCTCAAGAAGGTGAATTTCAAGAGGGGTACGCGAGCATGAGCAAAGTCATGAATCGTAGGGATATCTATGAGAATAATTAGAGTACGTAGAATTCACAGGTGTCGTCGAAATCGAACGATCGAAGAAATTGTGGCAGAAACTAACCGGCGGATCGATCGTGCGCGTGAAAGCCGCGAGGCAAACCGGAAAAGAAAAAATAACACGTCGAAGCTTCGCCGCTCCCGTTAAATTAAAAGCGATCGAACGAAAAATTAACGGCGTGTTTCAACTTTCATCGCCGCGATGAAAATGTACGGTCGCGCAATTCCTCGCGAAATTCCCGCTCGCGAAAATCCACGCCGTTATCCAATCCGGGCGCACGTGCACGATCGATCTTCCTTTTCGGCGGAGAATGCGACGATTCGCAGAACGGGGGAGAGGAGGGGGGGGGGCAAGGGGAATCCCGATTCATTTTTCATCGTTAGATCGTCTCCAGGTCTTTTCTATCGGCACGCGGCAGAACGTGAGGGATGAATCCGCGCATTCTCCCCGGCCGGGTGCACGAAGATGATGTGGCCTCCCTTAGATCGTGTCGGAGCTCGTAAGAGATTCCAGATATTAGCGGAATCTCTGCCCGTTTTATCTCTCTCGCTTGTCCGTCCGGCCGTCTTCTAGGTGACGGATAAGATTGAAACCGCGTCTCATCTCTCGCTATATCAGAGTGCATCCCGAACGGAATGAATTTATTCGAAGATAAGATTTAATCGGATCGAACGAGCTGCGGGAAAAATTACGCTTCTCCTTCGCGATCGTTTTTACACGTGATTGCATAATCATGTGGCGCTCTAAATAAAACGAGTGTTTTTTCTGATTCCGCGAGACGGCTAACAAAATGAGAACGTGTCTCTCTGCACGATTTTCGTATTGGACAAGTAAAAGTCAAACAATATCAAGAATAGCCCCGACGTAAAAAGAAGAGGGGTTCTGATCACGATATAAGAGAGACCAGTCCGAGTGCCAATCTTGTTCGAAATGTCTGCAAAGTAATAGTGTATACGGATTAGGGTGGGGAATATGAGAGCTAAACGGTAGACATTACCTTCCTCGAGACCTTCATCGCCGTCGCTCATCAGCTCGTCGTCCGAGCAAATGTTCAGCACGTTCACCAACATTTCTGTGACTGGAAGATAAAGCGAAAATCGTCCGTTAAATTAGCATATCCTTCAATAGACTGTAATACCTTATTTATATCTTGAAATATTTTATTTAAAAAGTCAATATCTCTTTCCCCTGTCTAAATTAATGCAATTAAAATTTTTCTCATATTTTTTTCTTCTAAACGTAAATCAATTAATCATTTATTCGATTAATCATTAAAGCTCTTTAATAAATAAAATACATTGCATGGAGATAATAATGTTTTACAGAAGCAAACGGGACTTGCCGGTCTAGCGCATGACTTACCTTTCTCGCCGACAAACGGTAGGGACCATGTGAAAACGTCCATGAAATTGGGCAACCAGTACGGGTGTGGCGAGCAATTGAACTGCCTGATATTCATCACGTTGTTCTCGTACTTTAAAACCGCCGCCTGCGGGCACAACGAGCACATCGGGACTTTACGATTGTATACCAGCGGTCCACAGGTCATAAAACGAACAACGCACCGACCATAAATGCGACAGTTAAATTAATGTCGAAGCTTTACGGTCAATGCTGGACAGTGGCGCGGCTGCGATTCGCGGCGCGAATAGAATTTTTACCTTGTTGTTGTACACGTCGAGATAGTTGGGCGCGCTGAAGATGGTGATAAGCGACGGGAAGCCCGTCGTCTGGGACTTTCGGTACATGCGATATCCGGCGTCCTGAGCCTCGTGCGCCCTTATGATGCTGAGCAAATTGTTGTTTTGCAGAAAGTCGCAACACGCCGCGTAACTGCAAGCAGATATTATCGATCGGCCGCTTGAGATTGGCAGAGAGAGAGAGAGAGAGAAAGCGCTTGACTGCCGATAATTACTGTTGAGAGAGTTATCCGAGCATATGAGCGGGCACGTTAATTCGCTTATTACATTTACGTAGCATTAATAACATGGAAATTGCCGTGCCAGGGTAAAATGACTCGGCGTTAAAACTTTTAATAGAAACGCCAAGATTTTTCCAAGTAAATTCCGCAGCAAGATTTGTGTGAAGCGTATAAGTTTTAGAAGTGTTCGCCAGGCAGCCATTCCGACGCGTGAATATTCATACCGGGAAATTCGTGTATGTTAAAATCGCAACCTGGATTAACGTCGTAACGCACGATCTTTTGGCACACGCATCAAAAACAATTACGCGCGCGCGCGTGTGTAATTGTTTTTGATGCGTGTGCCAAACAATCAATCTTAACTTGTCGAGAACGATTGGTGCAACGATTTGTATGCAATTCTGTGAATTTATACAGAATTGTTGGAGCGTTCTAAATATTGAAGTAGAATTAGTTTCTATTTTTGAGATTGCTCGAAGCTTGGGCGTTAGATTGTTAAGTTTGTCATTAATGCGAGTTGGGTATTCTTTCGTACGACGTGCAACTTTTAATGATGATCCGTCCCCTATCAACCGGACACCGGATGATGGGCACCACTGGTCTTCTCTACCGGCATTCATGTTCACATAAACAAATTAAGCCGCCGAAAACGTCAACAGGACGGCCCTTTTCGCTCTATCATAACTGACCCGGCCAAGAATCGTGAGAAATGTTTGCGCCACGTCGCGGCATGGTCATTAACGGCTATTAAGACCCGTTCACAGCGCCGACAGAGATTAATGACGAGGTGAAATCTCTTGAAAACCGTGCCCCGTTCGCCCAATGGCCGGTATCGATCCCCGGGTCGTTGAATCTTAACTTCGATACGCACACATCCCCGCGGCGCGACGATAAGATGATTTATTTAACGTGGAACGGTTATTGCGGCGCGCGAGATGTGTTCCGTTTCCTCATCGTAACACCGGTATAGCCACTTCGGGTCATTAGACGGTGTAGGAGGGGGTAATCAGGGGGCTTCATTACTAGTCGGACGTTCGAGGGAAAAGGAGGGTAAGTGGTGCGAGTCGCGGTGTAGTCGGACGACCGCCGGCGATTACAGACCGGACTACTTGCATACTGCTCGAGACGCGAGAGATGTGATTTATGTTCGCGTGAAACTTAATGCACATATATACCTATCCCCGGACCGAGACACGATAATGCGGGAATCGAAAATGAGGGATTAACGGGACTGGCGCGCTATCTGGGACGTCTTCATAACGGCCCCGCTATTATCTTATCGCGATCGCGATCGCCTGTGCCACGTCCACGTATATATCAATGAACAACTTGATTATGAAAATCACCTCGATAAATTACCTCTCTAACGTCCGTGCCCCTGCTACTCAAGAAATACCGACACGTATACAATTCTTCGCTGGCCGTAACGTAACTAACGTACCGCACTAACGTTAAATAGAGACACTTTAATAAAAATACTGGATACCAATTTGTTGCTGGAGCTGGAGATCGCCTCGGAGCGCAGAGATTTAAAACGAGTTTTTCCGGAATTTAATCTATTAGAGTCCGCTACGCAGACATACATGACACGTATACGCGAACAAACGAATAGGAAACGTTACGAGCGTGCACACGCGAGACGGCTGACACTTAACGAATCTCGGTGCTCATTAGCGCGGCCGTTCGTATAATTAGCGGATCCGCGAGAGGAGAGCTGTCGTGTCTGCGGTTTGCTGACACTGTCGTATAACGCGGCCGTTATTAATCTTCGCGCGCGGAGCAAACCGCGGACGTGTCCGCGGACGCTGACAAAGGACTACGCGACGAGGGACCGAACGTGTCACGTAGGAAGATTCGGCGAAGAAGGAAAATCTCTCAGGATTCCAGAAGGGACAAGGAGGGGGGAGCTAAAGTTACCTCGTTTCACGCTGTGTGATCGCGCGAGGGGTGTGTGTCCAACGCGCTTCCGGCTGCGCTGCTCGCAAACAGATGGCGAGATAATTACCCGTTGGAGGGAATTAACGGGTTAGCTGGGAGGAAAAAAAAACGAGGACCGGCCGACGACAGCCGCGAGATGTATCGCACAAGCATATCGTATTTCCACGGCAAAAAAAGAACTCCCGACTACCGCTGAGCGACGATGGGGTGTTGACCTCGTTTTTCCTTTTCTCCGCTAATACGTCCTTTATTATTACGTTAACACCGTGGTATCGACGTGTCCCACCGATATATCGACGACACCGACGAAAAGTATTGTAATTGCATTTTCTGATATTTCCAATTTATGCGATCCTTTTTTTAACATCCTTTATTGGCAGTATGGCTTGATGAAATATCGTAATTTTAATCAAGACAATTTTATTTGCTTGTTTGTATATATGTGTGTTACAATTGACGAATAAAAGATTTTCAAGAAGAGAAAACTGATGTTGTATAAATATGATTCTAAAATTTTTTTCGTTAATTGTTTCAGATTTATATATATATATAATTTAGGCATTCATAATTTTATAAAAGGTATAAACAATAAAATAAAACTTCCGAGAAACTAAACTTCAGAGAAAATAAAAAGATAATAGAATCACTATTCAGTTAATTCCAAACAGATTTTACTTTGACTTTTAATTCGAGGCTCGATTTATAAATATATAGACAATATAAAAAAAAGGTATCTTAATGTTAAAAAATTAGAAAGTTGCAATAAAGAATTATCTCCCTCAAGAACATTTTTGTTAAGAACAAAATTTATACCCAAAATCACAATACTTTGTCCAATCTTTAAGTTGGTGATTGATAAAGTTAACCATTAAGCTTTAATTTCTGATATCAAAGGTACAATATTTTTCTTCAGTTAAAAAAATGCGATTTACAGAATGTAACCAAAAGTCTATATATAATATCTACGCGCGAATAAGCATAAAAAATCAGATACCGCATGCCCACTAAAATTTATGTTACGTTCTAGGTTGACGTGTTGCAGAAAACTTAGAAAGAGAGACGGACACTTACCTGTAAAAGTATGAACAACCCCTGACGCTATTGTGGGAGAAATGCTCCGCGTTCTTCTCGTTGCCGAAGTCCTCGAGAGGATCCGACCAGAGGAGATCGCACATCGGTCCGAACGCCGGCGGCTCTTTGAACCTGTCCAGCTGAAACAGCAAGTCAACATTGATCGAATTAGCTCAAGGAATTAACTGGCAGTAACATCAGCCATCGCAAACGCAGCGTAATTTTCAGCGTAATTGTTGGCCATTGTCGGCTTTATCGGGTTCACATTGGGCTCTGGTCAGTCAGTTTGCACTGTATCCCCATTTGGAGGTTTAGTTGGTCCGTTATACATTACACGCGAACTTTATGCGGTTCTGATTGGTGCCGATTAATTGCGACGGCTTCATTCACGGTTACATCATAATCGTGAATGAAGCCATCGCAATTAATCGTTACGACATTATATAAAACGTTCAGATATATCGCACTCCTATGTCGTAACGTTTTGACTTCGATTTCTGGAATCGCTGTAACAGCAGACTTATATTGCCACTTTGACGACTCCTCGTGAGGTACGAGATACCTCGACGTCTAAAAGAGAGAGATGTGAGCGATAATCTGAACTTGAAATTGAATTATAATTTGACAGCGATTTGACAGCGTCGAAACGCGTATCGAAGCGCGACAGAGTCTCGAGGGTGACAACTCCCGCTGCTGAGTTTACGTATCGCGACAGCGCCAAACAAGGTATACGTAAGCCGGATCGTCCGCAGATTGCATTAATTAGGCTAGCGAGCCTGACAACAGTGCGCTCACCACGGATTTCTAAATGTCTATTGGTTGCCACTAAATCGCTAAACACTGAAATCCGATATTCAATGTTGTTAGAACGCGATGACGGAGATAGATCCTATCCACGCCGATCCTACTTGACATTTACCCGACACCACGCTACATATATATTTCCTCGAAGGAAATATACCTAACTGTTAAAAATCACACATGCGAATTTATGTAACGCTTTGAATTTTAACGAATTCAATCTTCCGAGTTAATAAACAGAAAAAGTGTGAACGCGAAACACGTATAGTCATATAAATTCTGTATAAATCATCGCAAACACGCTACATGAAACTGTCATAAACACTCAATATGTACATTGGTTTATCAATCCCGCAAAAAGATTACTTATTTAACAGAAACTGAACAGACGACGCTTTGCTCCCAAAGTCATGAAGCATTCGCAAACGCGGCGCGAATTTATTCTCGGGCCGCGCGCCGAGAATCGAGCCACTCCCCTCGAATCGATGTTAAAGGCTCGAAAACTTGAACGGCGAAGTTTCGTTCGAGGGACGAGCGAGTTTTCGAGCGGAGTGGATATCGAGAGAGCACGGAGAGAGATGGCGGGGGGGGGGGCCGCAAAGACAGAGTCTTGCCGCAACGAGAGCCCTCAAATATTTGTTTCCGTTGATCTAATCTCGCCGAGAAAAGTCCGCCCGGCGCGGCGCGATCTCGTGCCCATCAACTCGGCTGCCTTCGGAAATCGTGTTTAATGACTTCCATGAATATGAATGGCTTCGAGAGAAGAGTAGGTAGGTATTTGGCGCGACGCGAAACGTCTCGTCATCGCAAACACGGCTTCCCCTCTCCTTCTCTTTCTCCGTCTCATTTCGGGATGCAATCAACGCGGATGAAATACTGAAGACGAAGATCGCGAAATTCCGTTTACGTTATTTATAAGCTTCCTTCTTTTTTTTTGGCGTTTCGTTACGTTGGAATTTTGCATATGTAAAATATGTAGCTTCAGAGTTTTATTTTTCATAAAACGATATCGATTCTCAGTCTGTTTTCGCAATATTGCTGCGATCTGACCGTCAAAATTTTTGTATAGGTTTTATTAAAAAATTTGTTTTTCAACTTCCACGTGCGATCTATCTATATAAAATAATTCCGCGTGGTTCTGCACTCGCAAAAGGGAATAATCCGACGCAAAGATTAAAGCTGCAGGTTTCGGTACGTTCATTTACTAAATATTTAGAGATAAATGATACATGGTAAAAAATATCTCTTGATGTAATAACATACAATTTTTCCTATAAATGTTATTTACAGCGTACACTGAGAGAAATGTTGAAAAATGTTTTGTTGAAACAACCAAAATTTTGTTATTGCAACAAAATTTTGGTTGTTTCAACAAAACATTTCTCTCAGTGTAAGGGATTTGATACGCAATCAAACTTAAGTTATAAATTATAAAATCATAAATTATAAAAAAGTTATAAGTTATACAATAAAGCTAATGCTTGCTTTCAAATTTATCGTAAACAAGTATAAAAATAAAAAATTTAAGATATAGTAGATTTCTGAAATTAAAGTTTCGATCTTTTTCTATTTATCTACGTTTAAACAAATATTAAAGAGATATTAGAAACATTAACCGATTTTCCAGTTTTTTAGAAAAACAAGACTTGGCTAACACCAAAGGAGTTACTTTGCACGATCTACAGCTTCAAAAAATTAATAAAAATTAATAGAAACTTCGAACCACTTGCTCCCCTCTCTAAATGTAAGTCCCCGCGGTACTATCGACGCCATATTCCACGATTAGCCGAGCCGAAGTTGCGCGACGTGATCTTGATGCCGGCTACAAGTTTCACGTAACAGGTAGCGTAATTACGTCGAATGGGTTCGCATAAGTTCGCGACCCGTTTCCGCGTAAACATGTACAGACACGCGGGCATATTGGGCGCTTATTACGATATAATGAGCAGTTAGTGCACGATAATGACAGCGGCGGCATTAAGTGAAGCGAGCGTATCTTATGTCTCCCTATCATGTTTGCAGTGTCTATTATAATGATACGTAATAGTGTTTCATTGCCCTGCCCTCGTGTAGTCTCGCTCTGCCTTTCATACCGCATCGATCTTAAATTCCGCACCTACAGAGGGTAAATTTCTCTTGAAATGCAGCGAGATTTGATTGCAGCGCGTCTCTAAATTGAATTCGAAATACCAGAATATTCAGATATTATTCATACAATCATATAATATGAAATCAGCCTCTCGTGGGATCTTTCGAACGTATTATTCCAACAGGTATCGCAAAACATATAAGATTTCTGATTGTCTATATACATATGAATTGTCATCATTTGTCGCAATTATTTAATTTTTTATATAGTGAGAGTAAATCGTTATTCTTTATTTTCTAATATAATATAAAATCAGCTTCTCTTGGCATTTTTCGAACGTATTATTCCAACAGGTATCACAACGAAATATACGAAATTTCTCATTGTCTATATGTAAGTTGAGATCATTTGCCGCAATTACTTAATTTTTTTATATACCGAGAGCAAACGGCGAACGTTATTCTTTATTCTCTTGAAGCACGAAACAATTCGTTGATCACGCCAGTTCGTTTGAAAGAAACATTAATTAAAAATACGGGCTTCCAGGCCAAATTGCGGTCGCCGCAATGGCGCGCTCGCGGAGAAGAACGGGCGAGAGATGGAAGGCCGCGGGGGAGAGAAACGGCGGACAGAGGAGACACGGAGGAGTGGGATTCTGGGATGAAGAAGGCGTCGTTTCGCGGCACGAAACAAACGTAATTTAACGCGACGCCCCGGCTCACTTCCTTAATGGAATGCTTTCTTTGCTCCTGAGATATATTATGCATCTGTGGATTACGGGCGAAAAAATCGCCCTTTCGCCACCTCCCTTCCTTTCTTCTTTTTTCGTCCCCCCTCCCCTCCCTCGGTCATTCGGGGAAACGTTCTGTAAATGCGCCGGAGCGTGCGATTCTTTCTCGCGCCGCGACGCTGCCACCGCCGCCGCCGCGATGCTCGCGCCGATGCCAATCGATACCTCGGACAGGCTTCCCTTTGTGTCGTATATCACACAGAGTGTATCTCAACGGTATCCTTTACGCGGTTTCCACGTGGAGATCCCTTTCAATCGTGTGGCCCCTCCCGCCCACGTCCCCCTCGTTTTCGCTCTTTCTCTCTCTCTCGCGCGATGACGCGTATTTAATCGTGTTTGCCCCTTTATCCGCCGCTACCCGCGTAATCCGCGATTTATAATAATCTGTGAAAAAACACGTCGCAAAGATCAAAGATAAACGCGTCCCAGCGCGGGGAGCTCGGTTTTGCCGTTGTTGGCCCAGAGAGAAAGGGAGCGCATGAAATACACGGAAAGCAGACAGAAAACTCGGAACGTATGAGAGGTCGAACGTAAAAGCTGCAAAAAACGGCCCGCGGCTTTTCGCCCCCTGTATATGCGTGGAAGTTCTGCGCGAAATCGTTAATCTCACCGCTAATGCTTTTCTTATTCGAGCATGAAAGATTTTTTCGGTAAATATTCGTAGTTTATCTTTTCTCGGCAAAGAAGTTTTCTTGGACGAAATCGTTTCTAATCGTCGAACTTAAGTCTCCGGATTAAACACGCTTAAAATAAAGTATACTTCGAGAATCGGGAAGTAAGAGGACGAGAGACACGGTAACGAAACAGCAAAAGGTTCCACCTTGAATGCGCTCCAATTAACTAAAACGCCCCTAATCTGCGAATCTCCCTTCCAAGAAAGATCGCGGACGTTTATTTCGAGGATGATCTCAGGGCGCGGCTGAGCTAAGGAACATAAACTCCGCCCCGTGATTTTCGATCCGGCACACGCGAAGGACTGGATGCCCGCGATAATGCGATTACGCGATTACGCATGATTGTGCGCGTATCTCGTCAGGAGTCTCTCCCTTGGAGCGACACTCGGAGTACTTTGGGGCGTAATCGCCGTATCCCGGGAGCTCCCGAAAGTTTCTCCAAGTTTGGCTCGTTAGTCATGTGCGCGGGAATAATCCGGGCGCTGATAGCGGAAGACGCGTCTCGCGGGCGCTTGTCATTGAGAATTTTCAGCAAATTGCGCTGGCCCTTTGTGCGCTGCCGAAGAAAAACTCTCTCTCTCTCGCGGCGAGGAAACGAGCAATTGTCGCCTTTGTGCGAAGTTTCGGCGCACAAAGGTGACGGTCGCGACGAATGAAAAAAGAAAGAAGAAAGAGAAGCGGGAGGAACAGAAAAGAGCATAGAATAATGCATTAATTTGGTCCATTCAGGCTTGCGAACTGCGAACGGGGTTAATGAAGTCGTCAGGTCGTCACGCGCGGTTGTTA